CATACTCTATCCAGACCACTCTGTCAAGATGGTTGTTCTGATTAATGGAATCCTTGGTGGAATGATGTCCGTCCTCTCTACTCTTGAATCTTAAAATCATACCGACTTGCCGCACTAAGGCAGAAATCTTAGCCTGACAGATGCAGAAGGCTGTCATACCTGGATCACTGCGCTTGCTCATGGCACATGATTTCGTACCCAATGATCACTCACCCCGCGGTGTGAGGAGTGGTCATTGGTTGATAATACTGGCGCGCCCTCACGAATGTATCGGCATTTCGTTTATGCAGTTAGGGCTAGATTAAGTTTGTATGTAGCTAATAATCAGTATTGTATAATATGAAATATAATTCAACAATAAACATACATCTGCGCTTCCATCTAATCTCAAGAAAGAAATCAAAGACAGCAAATAGAATAATGAATCAATAAATTAAATCAAATCAACAGAGAAAGAATGAAAGCAAGAATATAGCACAAACAAATCATTTCACAAAGAGGCTAACAATATCATAAATATGCAACAAGAATTATATCTTCAATACCAAAATTGATAATATCATGAAATGTGAATTAACGCCAGGCTTAGGATATCAATAACCTATAGTGCTTTAAAAAAATCCAAGTTGTAATGAATCCACTCCAATATTTCAATAATAGCGTTTTACAAACACACAGTGATGCACTGTTTAGAATCTTTGGTGTAGTGATGAATATTACTGTAGTTTTTTCCCAACACCAAACCGTTATTTCAACACCTCGACACGTGTTTCGATCACCAAGTGATCATCTTCAAGAGGAAGGTTACACTAATCATACTTATAAAGCTATCCCTATTCAAATTTATTGCGATGAAGAGCNATATAATATAAATAAAACGATGTAGTGTGTGGATTCCTAATTTAAATGATAGTACCTAATCATGTACATTGAATTGAAGTATCTTTTCTGTCAACAAAATCGGAAACTACTATTCCATGCTGAGAAAAAATAAATCGTCTTAATTGTTTTGTAAACAAGTGAATCATTCGGAAAGTAGGAATCTTCTCAGGAATAGTATTATACAGTTTCGGAGCCAGGTTAGTATAAGAGTGTTGGAAAATTGATTTTTGTGTTTGGGGAATAACATGATTATTTTTTCTGCGGTGTTGTGCAAGTGAGTCGGTAGAGCGAAATTTCTGTTCTTATGGTAATGGATGATAATAATAAAAGAACTGGCGAATATCAAAAACTTTTGCTTCGTTGAACAGAGTTTCAGTAGAATAATAAGGCAGTTTGGACAATAATAATTTCAGGAACCTATTTTGGAGCACCTCAAGAGGGGGAAGGCGCTTATGGTAGGTTCCTCCCCAACAAGCAATTCCGTAGCTCAGGTGACTCTATACAAGTGCATGTTAAAAAATTTTGAGGTTAGAGTTCCTTAATATTTTTACCAAAAATTTAAATATGAAAAGTATGCAACGCAATTTATTACAAATATACTGAATATGAGCATTCCATTTAAGATGTGAATATATTATTACTCCTAATTATTTCACTTTAGCTCCGGGAAGTATTACATATTGATCAATTTACAGTTGTGAAAAATAAGGTTTGCTGGAATTATTGCAACTGAAAGGTATATAGTGAGTTTTCTCTAGATTCACTGTCAATAATCGATGTTAAAGCCAATGTGCAAGGTTCTTTGTGGCTCCAATTTTTTTTCCTATTTGGATTTTTTGCTTCTTTTCATCTTATGACTTACTGTATGATGTCGTCGAGCAATTTTCGGACAATTTTTATCTACCATATCGAACCAAAGCGCTGCTAAAATATCCCAAAAAATTAACCAGGTATTTGACAATGATAGTGTTGATGAACTCACTATTCGAAGCTGGTTTGCGAAATTCCGTTCCGGAAATTTCAGCCTTGAAGATGAACCTCAAAGTTGTCGACCTGCAATAATCCAGGACCCATCATAAACGGTATGTGGGATGGTGAAAGAACTGGGCTTCATCTCCCATGGGTTTTTTGATAATATAAAAAGTATTGGAAAGGACAAAAAGATGGAAAAGTGGATGCCCCACGATTTAAACGATCGACAGAAAATGTCACGTTTCGAGGTCTGCTTTTGCGCAACCATCACTATTCTTTTTTGGATCGGATTGTCAATTGTGATGAAAAGTGTATTTCCTACGACAACTGGAGACGTTCAGGATAGTGGTTGGATACCGATAAGCTACCCAGGGACTTTCCAGCGAAAACCGCACCAAAAAAGACCATGGTTACTGTATGGTGATCAGTGGCTGGTGTGATTCACTATAACTTTCTGCAACCAGGCCAAATCATCACAACAGAGTACTATCGTGAGGAAATCGATGAAATGTTTCGAAAATTACGTCAGCAGCAGCCGGTACTGGTCAGCAGATGGAGTACGATCCTGCTCCATGACAACGTCCGTCCGCACGTTTCACAAATCACCGTCAGAAAATTAAACAATTTCTGCATCATCCACCATACTCCCCAGACATGTCACCAATCGACTACTTTCTCACCGGTAGAACTTTTGCCTACCAGGACCAAGCAAAAATGGCCTTTTTTGATTTCATCGATTCGGGAGCACCCAATTTTTTTGCTGACGGAGTTAATCAACTTTTGTTACAATGTCCAAAGTACACTGATTCAAATGGCGCATATGTCGATTAAATTAAATAAGTATTCACTGAGATATTACAGTTTAAAGTGGACTCTTTAAAACGGACGAAACTAGAAAATCAATTACACTGATTCAAATGGCGCTCGTGCCGATTAAATTAAATAAGTATTTACTGAAATATTACAGTTTAAAGTGGACTCATTTAAACGGACAAAACTTTTGAAATAACCTAATAATTACGAAAGTCAATTAGATGAATGATTCATTCTGTTGAAACAGATAGTTTTTGAAAAACAATTACATTACAGTATCACTTCTAGGATAATAGGCATTTTATGAAAACTATTTCAATAATGGTGAATGAATAACTTCTTTTTGATCGTTGGAAATTCTTTTTTGATATTTGCGTTTATTGATTTCTACACATTCCAGATGGTTTAATTTTTGTCCTATATTTTCTGTATGTAATATGTCATAGTCTATGTTGAAATAGTGTCCTCACTAAGTTAAGTAAATTGTACATTGTGAAGATTTGTCATAGACAGAATAAAAAGACTACCAACAGAAGACTGATAACTCCTTGGGTAGACATATAAAGTCAAAAATGGACAAAGTTAACAAATCAGGGGTCTAGCAACCAACAGTGGATCGTACCCAGAAGTTTATAAAGGAACATCTTTAAGAGATTTCTGAACAAGAATAGTAACTTTCGTTACTATTCTAGGGAATGTCTATCCCAGTCTCATTTTTGCTACAAAAATAATTATCTTCAACTGTATAAATTCTAGCGAGAAATAGTGAATATTTCTATTCATATTATTGAAGATAACTCAATTCTTGCTAAATTCGCCTCAATTAAAACTCTGATTCTTCATAAACAAGTTGGCGGCATTACGAGAAGATTTTTCAGTCATACATCGCACATACATATCACAATTAGTGAGAAAAAATTATTTCGAAAGCAGTCAGTAGCTTAGTGTCAATTTCCTGTCTGAACAATTTCTAGAAATAGTTCCTTATTTTATAGTATTTCTTGATTGAGCAATATTAGATTCTCCTAGTCCACGAATTCGTATAAGTGATTTCTACTAAGAAATCGTTCATAGTTCCCAGATGAAGCGGATATCTGTGAGCTCCAACAAAATTGTGTAAGGGTGAATTCCTATTGACCTATAAAATAATCAAGCTGCAGATTTTCTTGTCAAGGAGTTCGTTGCAAGCTTTTTCATCGAAATAGAACTCTCTTTTTGATAGGCTTGACAAATTATCTATGGTCTAGATTCCTGACATACTGATCTTGAAGGTGATGATGCTGCTGAGTCTCCTGCAAAGGTGGTACCAGATCCTATCACTGGCTTCAGGTTTTGCAAAACAAACACTGAATACATGGACTGCAAGAAAAAATTAGACTAGACTGGCAAGATCCGCTTGATGGAAGATGATGACAGAGCAGAACACATAGTCTGTGCTTGCCCTGCTGTGGTCCGACTCAGGTTCTTAATGTTCAACAGGGCCTCACTTTCGCCCTTTCACCTAATAAAACAGTCACTAAATGAGTTTGTTAAGAAACTGGATTTATTTGATCGAGTTTGAATTGGTTTCAGTCTTAACTCTTGCGTATTGGTGGTGGAAAATAGTATGCATAGCCCTATTTATTTCGAATATATCTCATAGGAAATCAAACGGTTTTATTCAACTTGCGTTGTTTGTTTGTTTGTTTGGGTCAAATTTAGTAATTGAAGTTTGAACCCCTTTCTGTTGACAGATTGATCTGATATTTGGTACACATGATGGCAATACTATTATTTAATAAATTCTGTATCATTGTAAATCCAAGATGTCCGCAGCTATAAAATGGCAGATTACCTTGATTTGGGTATCAAATGACAGGGCTTGACTAGTAGAAGAGTAGTACACTTTGGAAAAGATGCAAATTCAAGCTGGCCGCAGTTACAACATGGATTACATATTATCTTGTAATACTGAGGCACTAAATGAAATAAACAGAATGAGAAAAATTCAGTAACAAAATCAGAAACTGAAAACTTGATAATAAAATAAGTAAAAAAAATGTTGAACGTTTCTTTTAGAAAAAGATAATAATGATGTAGATAATGTATTGAAAACTAAAAAATAATTCGAAAGGTCCAAGGTAGTAGTCACCACACCACTCTCCTCAGCAGTATACAATTTTGATCATATAAAAAAATAATAAACTCGTTTTTTTTTAATCAAATCGTTTAAAATATTTTTTTGTTATTTTATTTAACTAATATACCTAACCACTCTGTATCACTTCAGAAAACATATTTCAGACACATTTTCAATATTCTGTTTGTGATGAGACTTTATCAATGTTTTTCAGATATCGCCTTAGTAAAGGACCCGCCAAAGATCCCGTCATAGGTATTATGTTGGAAGTTCACAGAACTGGAGATATAGCTGTTGGTGATATTGTATATGTTGGAAAATTGTGATGTGTCGATGTTCAAAATAAATGTTAGTTCAATTGTCAAAATTTTATTTGTATTTATTTGAAAATATGGGGTTTTCAAATTTGTAACTCTTCCACAGAGTTTCATTTCAACCAATATCTAACAAAAATATTCCGTTGAGAAAACGAATTATTTTGATAGCACTGACTACACTCGTTATATGATTAGATATTATGAGAGCGGAAGCGAAAAATCTATTACATCTCTTTTATGATGTAATATTTTTTTCGGTTGACGTTGCCGGTGAGGTCAAACACACATCGTACTAAAAATAAACATCCATATGGTCAGATTCTCACATAAACGAGAATGTAGGTCATCGGTTGCCGAATTCGCATGAAATAAATATATAATTTTGACATAGAACAATTATTATTAATGCCTTTGGTTTCTTTGCTAAACAAGGAATACCTTTATTCAAAGACTCAAAAATACAATGGAAACAAAAAAATCACTTTCAGGTCTAGTTTACAGGTGCCGTTTCACATAATTTCAGTTCATCTTCAGTGAAAATCATGAGGTGTAATTCCATTCGTAATTTTACACAAGGTAATACATGATTTGAACCAAGTTATGCTAACAATCAATTTCGAAGTTATAAACAATTTAGTTCAATAAAAGAGATGTAGTCGTTTTCTGCTACAATTTTGACAACTATGGCAGATATCCAAAATTTAAAAAAATTACTTGAAGTATATCGGAATGAGAGATAGCTGTATAAACTTTTATTTTGGCACTATAACTTATCAAGTCGTGTAGATGAGATGGCCTCAAAGAGTTCAAACCTCCAGAAGAACTAATACAAAAAGAACTTCATTTTCATTCACAACTAAAGAGCTAGTTGAAAAGGAGTTAGTTTGGTAACAAATTCGAAATTTTTGGAAGAGGATGCTTGAACTGGAGTTCACGAAAGGATTCCGTGCTAAAATTTGCGGGTTTGTCATCAGAATATGAACTTTTTACAGTTCCTGAAAGATCTCCATCTAACACTTTGTTGATCACCACCTAGATAAGGATAGACTCCGGGTTTTTAAATTTCTTGATAAGTTTACTTTCTGTAGGTTCAAATGTTGCTGGATTCAAGTTTTTTATAATACTTGCTAGAGATATTTTGCGTTTGCCATTATCATATGGATTTTAAAGTTTTTCTAACCAAATAAAAGAAGTTTCTCCCAGGATTCGGTGAAATTGTATTTGATACATTCATTGATGGTATTCGATAGGATGGAATCGGAAAGAAACCTGCCAGCTTTCGGTATCCTTTTAGAAAGGATAGAATTATGTTTCAAAGTAGCCAGACTCTTGTCGAAGGGTAAGCATTTTCGTTCTTTGAGACATCGATGATTTCGGGAAGAAGAATATTTGTATTATTTCTTGAATTCTGATGAATTTTTCCCATTATATCCAAAACCAAAGGAATTCTTAAAAGATTTGCAACAGGAATCACAAAAAGATGTTGACAGTGATGAAAATGGTTCAAGATATTAAAAAAAGTGTTTGAACAAAGGACCCCCCCCGATAAGTATGTTTTGAGACAAGTTTTAGGGTGTGAAAATAAAGGTTTACACAAGTTTATAGCTGACTATCTCTTATTCCGAGGTGACCCCTGATAGTCTTCTAAGTGAACGGTGAAAATATATGTTAAGACGATTCGACTACGCGACGCCGATTCGGTTGCTTCGACAAAGAAAATTAACCCATTCATTTTTAATACTGAGGAATGAACAAAATTAGATTCTTGGGGAATAGTTGACCTAACAATAATGAACTAACATTTATATAGCAATTTCCCCTCTCAATTATGCTTTTGTAAATAACAATAACATTTTTTCTGATTGAATATTTACATATACCTAAATAATTTTATAAAATTAAAGCTTTGATATTTTTCTTGAC